CTCAACTGGATTTGCATTTTGCTTAGTAGAGCGTGGTTGTGCTCTAACCATGTGTTTGGCGTTGACTCTAAGGTGCTGTATTGGTGAGCTATAGCTGTAGACTTTTCTACGTGATTGGTATGTGATGCTTCCTTATTGAGGTGGAATTAAGTCTCTCTGTTTAATGTTATGATTAACCTGTGATAGCATCCTGTATTTTAATGAACTATTTTGGCCTTTTGTCTTCCTGTAGCAGGGCCTCACAATGTATTAGTTTGAGAGAGAGGATAAAGAGCAAGACATCTGTCTGCAGTACAAAAGATGACCTTTTGTGTCTATACACACCAGTTTTCCTTCCAGATAACAGGATGAGGGATTGATCATTAGCTGTAGGCTGACTAGATGAAGTAAACTGTAATTTGGTTCATGCTCACTTTTATAATAAGTAGGCCACCTTGCTGCTGGAGAATGGAGTCATAGAAGTGTGTTCAGAGCCAAGAATTAAAACCTAGGAGAAGGTTGTTCTTTTACTTATAGCTGGATAAGCATTAGATGTCCTACTCCAGTATAAGCAGGTAAAGCTCTAGAGGCACTATCTAAATCACTAGGAAACCAGCTGGAGGGGCCAAAAGTCACGTTCAGGATGGTCTCGATCTCTTCCCCTCTTAGACCATTGGAGAGTAAGTGGATCTCCTTATGTTACCAGTTTCCTGTGTTGTGGTTTTGATGTGTTTTGGATATGGCCCTGCGTGACATCTTTTGCTCTCTTCCCCCGTCCCCCGAAGTCCTTCGTAGCAACAGCCTGCTGACAGAAGGGGATTGAGAATTGCTTAGGTTCACTGGCAGCGATGCTCTTAACTTTTTTGAGAAATTGTTTTCCGCAGTCCTTGTGGCATAACAGCATGAAAATCATTTTGATAGCTGGACCTTAGTTAATCATGAATATTGTATCAGACCAAAAAAATGTGTAGTATCATCAGTTGATTCATTTTTTAAATAACAAAACACAATAACTTCAGTCAGAACTATATATGGCACTACTTCAAGCAACCTGTGCAGGGGAGTTAGCTGTACTGACGTATCACTACTACTGGAGGCGTATCAACTTCTGGTCATCTTTCACTGATCTTTTAGCCACGTACTGCGTTCTAGCTTTCTCAGAATGTAAGTAATACTAGGATGTCAAAGTCTTCCTTCTTGTATCAATTTCTAATTGAGTAGAGTTTCCTAAGCATACTTCGGGAGACACTTTGCCATAAAAGCAGAAATGGCTTTACACAACAGCAAGCTTACCTTTGTGAGCATTCCTGAACCTGAAAAGATACCCGGATATCTTATGGTGATAGTTATCTTATTACCACTGGCAGTACATCAGAACTTAGTCTTTGACCATATTTAATAGAGCTGATGCCTCTAAGCAGTACAGAGATCTGGATTTAGATATGAAAACAGCTAGGAGAAGTTCGCTTAGAAATTAAAATTAGGAGTGGGAAGCTACCAATCTGATGAGCAATTATGTAAGTGTCCCAAGCTTTTTGGTTAGAGTGCTTTCTTGATTTGTCCCGTTTGAATTTTTTGACTGAAAATTCTGGCGTTTTCCCAGTTTGTATAACAAGCAAAAATCCTGTCTACCTCACAAAAGTAGTATGAAGATTTATTTTTACAGGCAGAAATTAAGCTTGCAACATGGGTCTTCTCAGTCTGACTTTATTTTCTAGGCCCCTGCCCTTTAACACAAAATAAACCATCTATGTGCTTTAGAATGGTTTTACTGACAAAGAGCAATTCATTTTCTCATGTTTCCTGGAAACTTGAATTTTTTTTTTCCATGAAGAGCTTTTAAAATAATGCTTTTTAAAAATATTATAAACCTGTGCATGTGCCCCTCCGTAGCAGAGTGACTAAATCATTCTCTCATACAGGATGATGATAGTATGTGGAATGTTTAATATTGGCTCCTGCAAGAGACAGTTAATTGTGGATCAGTAAAATTTGGAATGAATGGGATTGATTGTAGAACTTACATTTCTTCCATGTTTTTGAAAATGGATACTCATAACTCCTCCCTACATCCTCTAGGGAATCCTTAGCTGCTTCCTCTTCCCTAACCTGCCTTGCTGTTTGTTCTCCAGTGCAAACACTGTGCGATGGCTGCTACTCTCCTTTGAGAACAGGTTAGTACAATGTCCTTACAGCTTCCAGTTCATGCATGTTTTGTGATAAAAGCTAATGTTTGAAAAACTTATTTTGAAGTTGATAAATACTGTAAGAATAAATCTGGTTTAAAACATAAAACAATTAACAAACATCAGACGTCTTTTTCGTGGCAACTTACGCCAAAATATCTACATCATTTCCATAATAATGTGTCTATACCCTGAAAATGGGTTCCTGAAGATAGGCAGAATCACCTTAAATTTAGCCTTAAATTTTAGGACTAAAAAGGTCAAAATCTTTTTCTGAGATGTGAAAAGGAGAATCTGTTTTGCATATTATGAGTGCAAGAGGCTTGTACTATTAGAAATCAACTGATGTGTACGTTCTGAAGTGATGAAAACATGAACAGTATCTCCATCTCCAAACGAGCGAAGATGTAAGGAAGAGGGCAGCTTTGCTCATTTCTTTTAAAAGGGCTAAGTAGGTTAGTAGGGGCCTTCAAGTGGCCTGCCTGAGCTCCGTAGACTTGAGCGGGTTTGAGATCTTTTAAGGTAAAAGGCTGTATTATTTAATGTCACAATTAGATATTGAAAGCCGTACACTTAAGAAATGTATGTGCCCGTGCTTTAGTTCATAGCCTAATGATAAACTGGTTTGCATCCTAAATGCAGTCAAGGCACTGGCATTCAGTCACTGTGTTGTTTAAACCTATTTTGAACAGTGGCAGCTTGGCAGTAACACACCCCTGGTAGCTACACTGATAAAAGCAGCAGTGGAAAACATTAGAGGGAAAATCCTGGTGTTGATGCAGCTATGTCTAAATCCCAGTTTGGAAAATGAGCTTCCTTTCCCCCACCTCCCAGGCCTTTCCTGAAGGATATCAAATGAGTCTTAAATGAGAAGTTGCAAAGAACTGAAAAGTAAACAGTCACTTTGGCTAAATTTTCAGTTAGTTACCCGTACCCAAGGGGATTCCAATGTACTTCATTCCCAGCGTCGACTTCCTCCCATATACCCACCCCAAAGACTAAAGTGCAGAGAAGCTTAATGACAGGAAATACCTCAAATGCATTTTAAAACAGTTAAAGACTGACGGCTTGGGGGGGGGGGGGGGGGGGAGT